AGCGGCCACTGCACTCCAGTCTGGGCGAGAGTGAGACTCCAACTCAAAAAAAAAAAAAGTGTAATACTCAATATATATATACTCAATATATACCATTTTGTCACGTTTGACTTCTGCAGTTACATATCACTACCATAATTCAACTTTGTAAAGTAACACATAGATAATATCACTTAAAATGTGTATACTTTCTTTGGCACCTCTGGTATATAACTGCATTATGGTAACACTAGGCAAAGTTGAGGAGGGCCCAGGTGAGATGCCTGCTGGTGCCTGTTGGCTGCAGCCTTTGCGGTCTCTGGTTTCCCCTTGGTATGAAGGCCTTGCCAGCCCAGCAGCCCTGGCCTGAGCCGTGGTGCTATATGGCATGGTCAGCTGTTGACCGGCCTGGTGCTTGGATGCCTTGGGCCAGTCTGTTTCTAATTACTAGTGGTCAGAAGGGCAGGTCCTGCTCTTGGGTGTGTGGAGGACTGCCTAGCAGGCTGAAGAGAGATCGGGTGGTCGCTTGCGCCTTCTGGGTCACGGGAAAGGGGACCAGATCTAGGCACGGCAGCAGCTGACGTTTAGGGGTAGGCGGCGAGGGACTGGTTGTCTGGGAAAGGAGCAAGGCCCAAAGCTCGAACCCCATAGTGGAGGCTCCGCCAGGTAACAGACCCCAGGCCTTGCCCTGGGCAGACTGGCAGCTTTGCTTGTGGCGAGGGTGGGATTCCAGGCCTGCCTTCGTAGAAGAGCCTGGATGTTGTCCACTGAAAGGCCAGAGGTGGATCTGAAGAAGCTGAATACCTTGGGGTGGGGCAGGATGGGATCATTTGCCTGTGAGCCCTTCCCTTTTTGTGCCACAAACTCTTCCTCAAGTTCTAGGGCGGGTGGTAAGAGATCCAGAGCAGCTGTGTGTGGTGGCACACACCTGTAGCGCCAGCTGCTCGGGAGGCTGAAGCTGATCACTTGCACTGAGTGACACAGAATGCCTCCTGGAAAAAAAAAATCGAGAGCAGAGGCCTGGTACAGATACAAATGTTATTCTACATAAAAATGTCACAAAATGGGCAGCTGGTTGTACCAAGACCTTTGGTGAAGGGAGGGGCGGCCGTTGAAGAAGGCAACACGGACAGTGGTCACAGTCACTGGGCAGGAGCAAAGCCAAGGGAAGGGGAGGCACCCCGACGCGGCCCCATCCCCTGCTGCATGCACTCGCATGCACACTCCTTGCCTGCCAACGAGGGAGGGGGCCTTGGGGCGGGGCACGTGTCTGGCAAGAGGCCCCAAGATGGAGGGAGGAGCCCTCCCCGGCTAGCTGCTGAATACTGCGTCCAAGACACCTGACCCCCCTGTGGCACGTCAGTGGGGACAGCAAGGGCAGGATGAGATCACAGGTCGGAAGGGACGTCTGACTTCCCAGAGCACGAGAGCAGGGACCGCCGTCCCAGACATGCAGCACGGGCGTGAGGACCGACGGCGGCCCACCCGGCAGAGGCCTGACCAGCCTGCTCTGCCCACCTCGCTGCGAGGGCAGCCGTTCCGAGGGTCACCTGGGGTGGGGCCTAGCCCAAGGACTGCTCCTGGAGCTGCAGGAATGTGGGAAGGGAAGCCGGGGCCCAAGACCTGTGGGACCCTGCCCCCAGGTGGGGGGGAGCCTGCAGCCATGGCGCCCTGAGCCTCCCTGGCAGTGATCGGCTGTTCGAGGCTGAGCTGGGCCGTCCCTCGGGGCCGCCCCCCCTAGCCTGGAGAGCAGCACCATGTGGCCAGCTGGTCCCACCCCTCGGGGCTCAGCTCAGGGGGCAGCTGGAGAGGCCGGAGGGCAGGGCAGGTGGGAAGGTCAGTTGCAGGCAAGGCTGGGGTCCGGGAAGGGCTCGATCCCAGGAGAGGGCAGCCCCGGGCCGAGCGGAGTTCCTGAAGGCAAGCAAGGGCAGCCCTGCCCGCTGGGGGGGGCCACCCGGGCCAGGGCCTGAGTCCACCCCTCGCTGCCCACCCCCACCCCACCGGCGGTTCCCTCTGCCTCTTCTGCACAGACGCACACTGTCACGAAGATCATGCACACGACACGGCTCGGGCAGGGCGGGGACGGAGGGCCCGTGGCAGGCGGAGGAGCAGCCAGGGCGGGAGGGTGCGCTGAGCCAGAGGACGGGTGGGGAGGCCGCCCGGCCAGGCGGCGGCAGCCAGGGGCCTCCTCGGGGCGGCCATCCGGAGGGCAGTGCAGGTGGGGTGGCTTCTATCCGAAGATGCCTCCGACGGTGGAGGCGATGACGATGCCCAGGATCACACAGCAGATGATGATCATGATCTTCTTCTGCAGGGGAGCAGGAAGGAGGGGCCTCAGACGAGGCGGGGGAGGGACCACCGGCGGAGCAGGAGAGCAGCGGGTCTGAGTGGGGGCGGGGAGGGCCTGCGGGGGGGCTGGCAGGGAGAGGGGAAGGCTGCCGCCAGAGCCCCTGGGCGGGGATGAGAGGCGGGCCGGGGAGGGACGTGGCACGGGCGGGGGCTCAGACGGGCTCCGGGATGCGGGCTGAGCCGCGCTGGGACCACTGACCCGGCGCGCCTTGCTCTGGTACTTGACGGCCTTCTTGGTGTCCGACACGGCCCTCTCCACGTAATCCACCGCATGCTCCACGTTGTACTCGATTCTATCTATCATCTCCCCCTGTGGGGCGGGGGACACCCGAGCTCCAGAGGGCCCCCTCCACGAGCTCGGGAGCGGGCTCGGGCCGGGACTTCAGGACAGCACTCTGAGGTGGGGGAGAGAGGGAGAGGGTCCGTGAGGAGGACGGGGCACAGCTTCTCGCCCACGCCTCCAGGCCAGGCACCCTGGGCAGAGGGCAGAGGGCACGGGAGGCCCCCAAGGCGGCCCCCACCTCTCCCTGCGGAACAGCCATTCTGGGGGCGGAACTGGCCATGCAGTCTCAGCCAAGGGGTAGGGACCATGCAGAGAAGCTCGGCTGGGGCCTCGACCCTCTGTGCCAGGAGTCAGAGAGAGGACAGAGCCAGGCCGAGGAAGGCAGGGCCAGGAGTGGGTGGGCTGGAGTCTGGCCAGTCCTGGCCATAGCTCCCAAGGTGACCGTGGGGGAGCCCTGACTCTACCCTCCTCAGGTAGGATGGCTCCATCCAGCTCAATCTGAGCTCTTCAACCTTCAAGGTTCCCCCGGCCCAGCCCCTCAGCCCTCTCGGGCCCTAAGATTTGGTTCCATGCTGCCTCCCGAGGCCAATCTGACCGTGACCCTGTCCCATGAGACTCTTTCCAAGTCCATCACCTTCACTGGCATCCACGTCACCATGGTCTGTCTCTCACCAGACGGCAGTGGCGGCTTCCTCATGGCCTTCCTACTTCCTAAGGTCATGCCATTTAAAAACCTCCAATCAGCCGGGCTCGGTGGCTCAGCCTGCAGTCCCGCGCCTTTGGGAGGCTGAGGTGAGTGGA